TTGAACTCACCAATCAAGTTTTTTCATTTTCTCCGATGATGTTTACATGAGTGATGATCATTTTGTTTACCGATTATAGTGTCAGGAAGGGTTGATCTCCTCTGGGGCTATATTTGCAAGAGAACTAGAAAAGCAGGGAGTACTGGTGATACATTTGCTATTCCTAGTCCTGGGCAAAGATGTTCACTTAAAAATCAATCAACTTCCTTAATAATAATAATATCAATAATGATAATAAAAAAACTCTTCATCTCACAACAAGAGATCACAAAGCAACAGTCACAAGGAAGAGTGAAGGAAGGGAGAAGGGCTTACATGATACAATTGTTGCCTAATTATGAACGCTACATTCTGATCTCGAAAAAAAATAAAAAAAGACTTCTATGCTCTCTCTCTCTCTGTCTCACTTTTCTTTTGAAACAATATGCTCTCCTCCTCTTATGCTTCAACTGTCAACATCTTTACAAAAAAGATGGTCCATAGCTACCATAATCTTCCTTTTCATAGACCACATAGGTTGTAGCATTAAGATAAACATTAAGAATCATGATCCATTTGCATATGGAAAACATATATACATATATATATATGAAGCCTGACAACGGGTTCCATGCAAGTTACGGCAGCTTATTATAATAAGAGCAAAGCCTAATTCATCCAGTTCTCTACAAACTAAAGAGTACTAGTTTGTCTTAACTAGCCAGGATATGATACTCTAATTGTAGCAGTTGAGACATGTCGAAGGAAAATTTATAAATAATAGACTAGAAGTTCTTCTCTAACTTGTTAACATTACTCTTCATTAGTTGAAGCTCTCATGCACCCACAAAAACAAGCTTTGTTCCGCTTTGCACTATTATGTGCGTTGCCTTTGTAAATGAAGTCTCTCAAGAGGATGCCTGTTTTGCTATCTGAAAATTTGTTCTTTCCTCTGTGTTTCTTTTCATCTTCTAGTTTCAGCAGAAGATACTGGATGCTCTGCACTTCAAATTGCAACCTTCCAATCTTTTCAGACCCTTTGCGTGCCTGTTCCATTGCTATCTTTCTGCATGTATCTCTGGCATTTCTTTCTTCTGCAAAATTATTCCCACTCACAAAGGAAATACTCTCTGCAATATCCTTTGCTAATTGATCGTTCACATCAGCCAGCTGGACAATAGCCTCTTCTGCCTCTTGTAGTTGTCCTTTAATTCGATCGTACTCAATGCCATTGGCCTTTTTGCGCCTCTTCTTCATCTCTACTTCCTTCTTAAGACCTTGAACAGCTCTCTGAAGACCCACAAGTTTCTCAGCATCAGAAGCAAGTCGCTCTAAGATCTTTTCCCCTTTGCCCCCTCGATTTTTACCTCTAATGCTTGCAGATATCTCAAGCTTGTCAACACCCAACTCCTTCTCAACCTGCAATTCTGAACAGGGGTCTCGACTCTTATGTCCTGCATCTTTGAGCTGATGAATAGTAACCCCACTCTCCACTGGTGGATTTTCCTGTTCTTCTGTGTCACTGACAATACAATCAATTGTATAGCCTTGTTCAGCAGACTCCCACAGCTCAAGCATTTGATCATCAGGTACACCATTCTCTTTCCTGCTTCTTCCGTAGGATGATGAGTTGGAAACATGATCAAGTTGAATATCTTTCATCAGTAATCCGTTTCTCATTTCAGATATTTCAGGTTTAGGCCTCTGCTGCCTTAGTTTATCAATGAGTTCATGTTCAAGCTCCCTTTCTTCCTTCTGGATGTCATTTTCTTGTTCTGAGGTGTTCCTTAATTTCAGTTTATCAGGCTCCTTCACCAGACCATCTTCTTCAATACTGATGCTTATACTTTGAACCGCAAGCCTGTGCCTTTCTTCCATCATTGCTGTTTCAATGGCTCTGATTCTAGTCTCCATTTTCTGCAAAGATGAAAGTCCTGCTGCTGTGGAAGTGATTTTATCCTTTACAACTTCTTGACAGCCTATTTTGTGACGTTGATAATCTACCCGTGGATCCTGGTGTCAAATTAGCATCAGTTATTTGTTAGTTTGTGTTCACAACAAAAGTTTATTCACATATTGATAGATATTGAACTGTGAAATTTCTGGGAACCATGTGTGCAGACTAAGTCAGAAATTGAATTCCAAAAAATAAACACAGTTTAGTACATAAAAATAGTTTCTAGATTACATTTCTTAATCAAGATATGTTTACATTCAGAAAATGTATATTAGCAACATCTGTGTAACTACGTAAAAAGCAAATTAAAAGAACAGTTTTCTAGAAGATACTAACTTCTTTTAATAATTCCCTTTTTTTCAAAAAAAAAAAAAAAAACCCACTAATTCATTCTTTGTTTATAGGCATGAATGAATATAAAAAATAAAAATTAAAAGTTTTTATATGCCAAAAAGAGCCTTAATGTTTTTCCCATCTCAGAATAAACAAAACATCACGTAAAACTCCCAATATAAGGCTAATCAGGCATTTGGAAATTGTATGGAGATGAATAAGATGACTAGAACAATTGCCAGATTGAAGGAAGAGGTTTAGGAAGTTGATTCAAGCAAGAAAGGCAAGTCCATTGACATGTCAAAATTCTAGAATAGTTGTATTTCTTAGGCCTCAGAGCACACATCAACAGAAACTTAGCAAGAAATTTAGTTCCTTACTTTTAGAAACAACAAAAAAAGTGGGGAAAAACAGAACTCTACTAGTCTGGACTGAAAAAATAGAATTGCTTAAATTTATTACCAGAGAAAAGAATTGTTTTTGTTCTTCATTGGCTGCCACAGAAATCTTTGTTCGAAGTACGTTGTGCTCAAGAGATTCTACAGTGACTCTTAGGGAATCTATGATAGGAACATATGCAGATAATTGGGCCTTCAATCCCCCAATTTCGCTTTCCATGGATCCAACCTTTTCTTTCATCTGTTCTATCTCCACACTCTTCGCAGCACTTACATTTTCAAGACTCTGACAAAGTCCAGTGAGCTCAAGAACCTTATTTTCAAGCAGAACTTCATGGATAGAAGAGATTTGGAAATCAAAATAGAATGATGCAGCCTCAGACTCCCAGAGTTCAAACTCGTTACTTTTTTCTTGCAGCTCTGAACTCAAGCATTCTTCCTTAAGCCTTTGTTCCTCAACTTCCTTGTGTAATATGCACACTTCAGACTTTAAATTTTTATTTGCTTCATGAAGTTGTTCAATTTCCTCCTTCTGATTCCTGCTAAATTCAGCTAGTTCACGAACCTGCTTCTCTATGTTTCCTCTATCAAGTTTTGATTGTTCACACTCTCTCTTAAGTTCCTCAATCATTCTACACAATTCTGCATTCAGGTCTTGAGCAGCCTTAAGCTTTTGCTGTGCTTCTAAAAGTTCTATTGCCTTCTGTCTCAGAAAATCCTGTCCAAGCAAAATTTGATAGTTTAATTGATCATTTACATGATTAGCTTGATCCAGATCCTTGTGCAACTTCTCAACTGTTTCACTAAGATCGTGATTTTCAGCATCTTTCATGTCTAACTTCTCTCCCAGGGTTTCAAACTTCTGCTTGAGTTCACTATTAACTACCTGGAGCCTGTTAAGATCTTTAGCAAATGCCTTAAGTTCCTTTTCTTTTTCAGTCCCAAAGCTCTGGAAAACCAAAGATATGTTACTGAGAGCAATCACTTCCTGAAAAATAGCACAATTTTCCTCTTCAAGAATACACATTTCTTTTCTCAGCTCTGAAAATTTTTTTACCAGAAGCATATTTTCTTCGAGTACTTTGGAATTTTCTTCTTGCAACACCAGGTAAGCCTCCTGCAAACTTCCCAGTTTTGCATCCTGAGCTTCCAATTCACCTTTCAACTTTCTCTCTTGTTGATGCCCTTCTCTCACTTCTAATTTCAACTGCCTATTCATGTCCAGGAGCTCATGGTTATCGTTTTGTAGCATTGCTTGATGCTCTGAAATGATTTCGAAGTCATTCTCAATAATTTTTTTCTCTGATTCAAGTTCAGCAGCTTCCAATTTCAGCTGTTGAAGCAAACATAGAAGCACCGAGTTCCCAACTAGCAGCTGATGCGTATCATCCTCGTTTCTGGAGAGTGAACATTTTAATTCTCCAATGTCCTCCAAAATATGTGGAATGCGACTTTCCTCTTGTTGAATCATATCTTCGTGCTTGCAATCTGCATCAAATTGAAGAGCTCTGAATACTTTATAAATTCCTGCCCTCAGATTTTCAATTTCATCTAACAAAAATTCAGCTTCCACCTGCTGTTCTAGATTCTCACTCTCCAGCTCTGATATCAGTTTATCTGACAATTTGGACGCCTCAATATGTTTCTGACAATCAACCAACAAAGATAAGTTCTTCTTTTCTAAATCTTCTATAAACTTCTGCAAGATGAATATCTCAACCTGCGCTTTTACTGCTTTGTCCAGTTCTTCCTCAAATTCCCTCTTCCCGGATCTACATTCTTCTTGCAACAGGTGAACATGGTTTTCCAGATTTGCCAATCGGGACTCACTTGACTGAACATACGATGCCCGCTCTTGCTTCTCTTGGCAGAGAAAACTCCTTAGTTCTTCTACTTGAAAATTTCTAGATTCTTTCTCCTTCTCCAGATCAGCACACTTCTCTTCCAACCTCATAAACCTCTTTTCCAGATTTCCCAGCCTTTCTTCAACATTTTTGAGTTCAGAGACCAGGGTGCCTCTTTCATTTAGAAGGTCAGATTTTTCATCTTTGAGCAACTGACAGAATTCTTCAAAATTCTTTGACTTTACCCTTAAACCTTCAAGCTCAACATTTGCACCAGAAAGGGAAGTCTCTAGTAAGATATTTCTCTCTAAGAGCTTCTGCATATTCTCAGTCATAATTTGCAACTGAGAGAGCAGGGTGGCTTTCTCAGCAATAAGAGTAGATTTGTCATCCCGTAAAAGCTGGCAAGATTCCTGTAATTCCTCAACCTTCTCTCTTGATCCTTCTAGCTTAGCATTTGATTCTGAAAGAGAACTCTCCAAAACGCTTTTCTTTTGCAAAAGGTAATCCATTTCCCTCAACTTCTCATATAAAGCATCTTTCTCATCTCTGTGCTTATTGCAGACTTCTATCAGCTTTGAGTTCTCCTGTTGTAACTTCTTAACAGAGGGCTCAATGAATTCAGGATTCAGACCAACTGACTGCACTTGCTCCATTAGAGCCTGGTATCTCCTGTTTAAGTCTTTGATTTCCTCCTGCAAACTGCAAACCTCCTCTTGGAGGGCAGTACTTTTGTCCACTTGTAATACAACCTCTTGTTCAAGTTTGTCTTTTATCTCCTTTAAACTGGATATATCATTTTGTAAAATCTTTAATGAAATGGTGGAAGACTTGTTCTGTTCATTCAGGGTTTGATTTTCTTCCTTAACCTGCTGGATGTCATCTTCCAAATTGCGGTTCGATATCTCCAAGTCCATCAACATTTGAAGCCTATTTTGTAGCTCAAGTGTCAAAGATCTCTGTTCTTCCTGAGACTGAGAATGCAAATGCTGCAAATTTTTTAAAGTAGCTTCAATTTTTGAAAACCGAGATTGCTCATCTTGCAATAGACTCTGAAGCTTCTCCAGGTCACTTTGTTTCTCAAAAAGTTCTTGATCTTTAACTGCAATTTTTTGTGCCAGGTTGTCTGCTTCTAACAGTAAAGATTGATTTGACTTCTCCAGCTGAGCACGCTGTTCTTCCACATTTTTTAATTTTTCTTCCCCTACCATAAGTTTTCTGTTTAATCTTTCTGTATCGCCTTGTGCGCGAGCAATTTCACTTTCGAGCTTGCGAATTACAGCCAAGCATTTCTCATACTGGAGAATTGCATCTTCTTTCTCTTCTTTCAGTTTATAAAGTTCTCGCTTCAGTGCTTCAATTTCAGTTTCTGCTCTTTCAGTTTGTTCATTAAGCATTTGTGCATTTTCCTCAGCAAGGGCAATTTCATTCTTCAAAGCAGAAATCATATCCAGGCACTGCTTGTACTGAAGCAGCCCAGCCTCCTTCTCATCCTGTAACCTCGAAAGCTCTTGATTCAGATTTTGAGCTTCTATTTCTGCTTTAAATGCACGTTCATCGAGTCCTTTTGCCTCCTCTTGCATTTTAGAAATTGTAATCTCCAGAGTAGACATTTTAGCCAAACACTGATTGCACTGAAGAAGCACAGCATCTCGCTCAGCTTCTAATTTGATGAGGGCTTCTTTTAGTATTTCAATTTCAAGTTCCGCTTTAATAGCTCGCTCGCTAAGCCCTCCAGCATCTATTTGTGCATGATTAAGTTCGCTTTCCAGGCTGGATAACTTCTGTAGACTCTGCTGGTACTGAAGATGGACAGCTTCCTTTTCAGCTTGAAGATCAGCAAGTGTTTTTCTCAAGGCTTGAATTTCTCCTTCTGCTTTACAAGCACGCTTTGATTCAGAAAGAACTTGAGTCTTGAGATTCTTATACTCTGTTGATAATTGTGAGAACCCATTCCGTAGACTCTTATCAATCTCTGCCTCTTGTTTCTCCATCCTTCCTTCTGTGACCTTTTGTTCGACTACACCTGACCCAAACATGTCATTCAGCTGTTTTAAACCCCTTGTTTTTGTTCTGTAGTCTGATTCGTCTGAATACCCCCCATGCCTCCGAGAAGAATTTGAGCAGGTTGAAGAGAGGCCCAGGGAATCCTTTTGTAAGTCTTCTGGGTCAAATAATGCACGAATTGGATGTGGCATTTCTGGTGTCTGAGGCTCAACATCAGGGCCTGATGAAACTGATGATGAATCATCAGCTAGATAAGGAACTTGGTTCGGAAAAGCTTCTACCATTGTTCGATGGGCATGGCGGAGCTCTACAGTTGCATGATCATACCTCTCTGCTAATGCACGGTATGCTCGATAGAACTCCTCAACAAGTTTCATGAGCTCTGGACGTTTCTTATAGTACATTTCTGCCCTCCTTGCAAATGAATCTGCATCTTCTTCAATGAGCTTGATCATTGATTTCACTTTAGTGTCCATGTCTGTTAAGAAGAGACTGTCAGTTAATGGCCAAAAAATGCAAAGAAATATACATGTATTAAGCATTGACAAAATGGTCTGCCAATAGTTTCTTATGAGAAGGAAAAAACTGAAAAGTGGAGCCCCTAGATTACAATTACCACGATTCTTCCACCCTTGATGTATCATACAGATTTAGAGCAAAGAGCCAAAAGATTTTACCATGCACACAATACAATATTACTTTTCATTGAAATTTTTGTGAAGAACATCCCTTACAACAAAGAGAAATCAAATTTTTATATCGTTCACAAGCATGAAATGTCTGATCTAAGTATGAAAATACTCTGGTTATTACTTTACTGTCCCTGAGTAACCAGCATAAGAGCAACGGTAAACAAAAATTTTATGCTTTATCTCTAGAGGAGATTTACTTAATTTATCTCATTTCAATTAGTATTCAGTAGTGAGTAACTTCTTTTGTGGTGTCAAGCTCTATTCTTAGATGAGTCTGTGTTGAGAACTCTATTTAGTCTTTTGATTGTCACATTAATTTGCATAAGAAAATGGCCAATCTGCTGTTTATATATTGATACACACCTTATGCGCGAACATGCTAGGGTGAAAATGTTCATCAAACTTAAATGGCTGCAGCCAATTATCTAATTCAAGACTTTTAGTTTTAATACCGAGTGAAATAATTAACTGTGCCAATTATATGCATGGATTCAATCTATTATTCATGCAGCTCATATTGCAGCCTCGAAATGTTATCTGCTATGAAATTTGTCATTTCATTCTGTGCCCCAGACTACCACTTTGAGGTCATGAAAACCTTCTGAGTTGATATCTATGCCCGCCCTTTCACAGAGAATTATTCCCCAGTTTCAGCCTAAATACAACCTTTAATAGATAAAACACAGGAGTTGCCTGAACATATTTGTTAAAGGTGGTGAATCAGAATGTAGGGATCATTCATATTTAAAGCTACTGGCCTCTCAAAGATAACCAGGCAGGCCCAGAATTTCAACTAGATACTCTCCAATTTTCCATTGAAGTAAAGCAACCATAGATGTAATTCCATTTGAAATTCCTTCAGCAGTTTTATGAGATTTTACCACGTACTTTACTACCAAACCTAATGACAAAGTACTAAACTTATTACCTTAACAAACACTGGTTGAAAGCATAGGAAAAAGCACAAAAGATAATATTTCTTAAACCCCGAAAAAGAAACATAAACAAGATAGTAGTTCGGAAAGAAACTATCACCTGTAAGATTTTCTTGAAGCCATTTTGAATTCTTTGGACTAATGTGACTGTCCCACCACCAAGAATATAAGCGCCTAGAGTCAGAATGCAACAGGGTTGCCATGACTCCGGCAAGGAATAAGAAGAAAACTGGTTTGGACTTTGCAAATGCCTGGTCCTTATACCAGTAATAAAAATCCAGGTAATGGATCCAGGCCAGAATAAGAAGTTGATAGATTCCAAACACCCGGCTAATAGTCTAAACGAGAGCCTTCATTATATCTATCTGTGTATCTCAGTCGTTTCACCTACAAAACCAATATGACGAAGTAAATATAAACATCAGACGTCCAGTTTCACGTCAGCTTTTGTTGGCTGTAAGTATAGGTGACTAACCGCAGCTTAATGTGAAGTACATCTTCAATGGAAGACCATTCTATCACTCTGTAACAAATGCTGCCCTTCACTTGAATGGCTTTGCAAGTAGAAATCAGAGAAAAACTGCTCCAGGAAAGGAAAAACAAAATGAAATTCGATCTTTAAATTTGCAGACATCAGGTAACCAATGCCGACAATATTCTCGACGAAGAAAAAAAAAAAACCACAGTATTCACAGCTTGATATTCCCAAACAACCCCGTGATCTAAGCATAAAATATACAAAAATGAAACAGTTCATCAATAAGGCATCTCCTGAAAGATGTAAATAGTTCACTCAAAAGTGGAGTGGGAAAATAATTGACATGGACCCAGTGATAAAATTACAGGGAAAAGTGGATCAAAACAAATTAAACAAAAAAGAGCAGAAAAGCTTGAACTTTTAAAAAAGAAACAAATAATTCTAAACAAACAGAACTTATCAGACAAGAAACTGGTGATAAACCCAAACAGACGGAGGAATGAACGATTAAACACAAAAAGTATGCATTATAGGCGAATGGGCATCCAGAAAAACAGCCAAAAAAAAAATATTTCTTACAAGCAGTGGGATTAACAGTCACCTAACAAGATCAAATCTGGTGATCGTTTCCAAATCAGCAACGAAACACTGCAACTGAAACAAAGGAACAAAGAAATGAATTTTAAAGAAATGGGTACGAGGGAAAACGGCAAAGACATGATTTTTATTACCAATTTGGATCAAGAACGTGCCAAAAGAATCAGAAAGCTGTGACAGAAGACTGATCAGCAGCTGTTGATCAGTCTAAACCTCCAGCCGCACACCATCTTGTCACCCCATTTCCTGCTTGACAAACAAAGTGTAATGGGTTCTTGTTGTTGGCATTAGATTCGGTTGAGAGAAAGAGAGATGGAGAGAAAAATGTAGAATGAGGAAGATAAGTATGAAGAGTTAAATACGGCAAGAGTATCTATAGCATAATAGAATACAGGATTTTACCCATTAATACAGAATAAAAAAAACGGATTTCATAACCCACAGTATAGTTTCAACTTAGAGCTGAGAGGATTTGATGAATCCAAACAAATAAATGATATGTTTCTTAAGTTGTAAATGGAAGAAAAGAGGATAGTCATCTTCTGATCTAATCTTTTTGCTGTCGTTTGTCGTGACTTTCGCTCTGCTCCCGATGTGAGTGTTTCGTATGGTATTGTTATGAGCCTATTTTACCAGAAACCAAAAATTACTAATCTGCCCTTACTTAGCATCTCAAAAATGTTTCTTTTTATATTTTTTGGTTTCCTATTTTTAAAACCTGATTACTTTTTCAGCTTTGTTTTTTGGTTTCCGATTTTGACTGCCCACCTAAACTATGCAGCAAATTTGGTAAATTAAATTAATTTTTTTGATTAGTAAATTAATAATTAAACATTTACATTTTTTCACTTGGCTCGTGAACCTGTAATAAATTTATTATTAATTATAATTATCAACTAGTAATATTTAATTTACTAGATTAAATATTTATTTTATTAATATTATATTATTTAAATAATTACAATAAATTAATATACGATTTGATTTTTTAATTTTAAAAACAAATAAAAAATTCTAATTTTTTTCTTTGACAAATTAATAAAATATTAAATTTTAATTACAATAATTGTATGGTTATAATTTATAAACAATTGATATTTGTTTTGAAAATCTCATCCTTTGAAAATTGAGGAGTAGAGGCATGATGATATTTATATATTCAACCGTGAACTACTACTCCTACTACTAGTTGAGTAGATACAACTCAGCAGCCTTTAAATTTTATAGAACTGGTAGGTCGAATTTATTTATGTACGTATCTACCCATGCCTTATTTTTTAATTTTATTTTATTTTATAGGCTTGAAACACTATATACATGTACACACACACACACACTATATATATATATATATCTATACGTACGTACCATGTGACGTTCATATTTTATATATAATTAAAAAAAAAATTAGGCTTTTATTTAAATGCAGCAGATAAAATTATTTTCCTTGAATTTACTAAAATGATTAGGTAAGAGAAGCATATATATATATATGTGTGTGTGTGTGTGTATATGTATTGGTTACACAATAATTTGGCACAAAAAGGAAGTGATGAAGAAGGTCGGTCCAAAATGGAAAGGTGGTATTTTTTTTTTTCTTTATATTAATTTATTTTCTAAAGTAGACAGGTAAGTGGGATTAAGATTTTGGATTATATCAAACTTGTTGACAAGCTATGGGTGGGGTGAGTGGTGTTGTCCCTTCTCTACCATTTTGTCTTTACATATATATACCTCACCAATAAATCTAATTCTATTAGAAGAAAAAAAATATATATATTTCTTTAATTATTATTATTATTATTTTTGCGTTAGATAAAAATCAAAAGTGAAATCTTAAATCTCATTAAAAATATGAGTGACAGTTTGAGCCAAAAACTTTTGGTTATTAAATACTAATTATTATATTTATATACTAAAGTAGTTATTATTATGGTTTAATTAAATAAAAAATAATATAATATATAACTGTGATTAGTGGAAGTTTGATACTATTTAAGTATCTTAGTGTTAAATAAATATTATTTTAATTATATTTTAGGTATTATATATTGTGAAACAAAATTTTATGATTTTATTTTTTTTAATTTTGTCTCGGATTATGATGAATTGAATACGTGTTATTTGTTAACATTTGATGGAATCGATCACCGAGATTTATCCAAATGCACAAAAACCTCTAGCTAAAGCTTGGTGTAAATTGGATTTGGATACAATTGAATGTTAAAGTTTATATTTTTATATAGATTCATAGTGTACGTTTATTATTCGATAATAGATTGTGACTTTTATTTAATAAGATATTTTTTTTTATCAATTTAAACCTTATAAAAATTACCTCTCTTTTAATTTTCTAAGTTGATTTTCTATAGTTAATTTGATAATCTTTTACAATTAAGTAAAATTTCAACTGTATGTATTTTTCAATTAGAATACTCCACTCACTGTAATATTGTTAAAAATAGTATTTGAAAATTTTATTTTATTCATATATCATTCACAATAATTACATAATAAATAATTTTTTAAATTAGTAAACGAAAAGAAGTGAATTTGATCACAAATTTAAAAAGAGAGATATATAGACAGATAGATACAGGTGAGGGAGGGAAGAGGAGGAGATTTGTGGGTTGTGTGTGTTTTTTTTATGGTTTGTCTAAATATTTTACCATGAGAGGGAGAATATATATATATATATATATATATGTATAAACATATTTTTACATGGGTTTTAATTAATTTTATAATATTAGTAATTATTATTATTATTACTAGTCTTAGTCTTAGTTTGTATTGTTTTTGGTATTTTTGAAAGGTGAGAGGCTTTTACTATTATGTTTTTTTTTAAAAAAAAAAAAAAAAAAAAAGAAATTGGACCCACTTACAAACATGCATCTGAAAAGGGGAAGGTAGTGTGGTAATGTCTCCTGAAAAAAATTGATCACCATGAAAAATGGAAAGGGAATTGCATATAATTATGTCTTCTCGAAGTGTGTTACCTACATACATCTATAAAAATAACAAAGCTTTTTACATCCATGGCCGGCCGCTACAAAACTTAGCTATCGATATAATTATATCTCTCTCTAAACCCATATCCCATTTGAATATTCAACTCACAACAATTTCAAATGTTACCCAAAAAAAAAAAAAAAAAAAAAAAGAAAAGAAGAGGAATATACATATTTATTTCTGTTATGTGCAAACATCATGTGTTTCTGTGATATATTGCATTCTCCATTCTCCATTCAAGTCTTCATAATATGACATCTGTTGTGTAATAAAAAATATGGTTTAAGAAAGAAAAAAAAAATGAAATGGGTATTATTATTGGGTTAGTATTTTTGTATCGAAATTACATTTCTATTTAATTTAATTAAAAATTTATAATAAAATCTCATTCATTCGATGATAATAATTCAAATGCTGAGATTTGAATTTTTTAAAAATATTAATAGTTACATATTGCTTAGTCACCACCCTACACTATATACGGAGGCCAAACTTTCATTAAAATGTAAATTAATATAATCGTATACATTAAGCGATTCGAATTACAGATTAAGAAACAAAAAATCATTATAAACAATCCCACCATATTAACAAACATGGAGGAGTAAATTACATTGCTCCAATAGCTATTATAAGAGCATGTGTTTATTTTTTAATAGATTAAAAAAAAAAAAAAACAGCAATCACCGAGAGTATGGGATGGGATTCAAAGCGAGCGATCATGACCGTTAAATAAATGATGAAGCACGTGGAGACTTTTGACTTTCCAATCACGTGGGGAAGATATGATTGGATCAACCCTCGGGGGGAGATTCCTCTGGTATAAAATTACAATACCACTGAATAATTAATAGTCGGTTTTTGTGTGAAAGCGGTGCGTTTTGATGCCAACTTTGTACCCCAAAAAAAAAAGCTGCCATTTCCCCTTAAAAACACACCGACAATTTTACACACGACCCTCTCTCTAGAATTATTAGGGTGGAAAAAGTAGATGGGAAACCAATATGTCAATGGATGGTAGCTAGTGGGGAAAACAAAAAATCAAAATTGAAGGGAAAATAATATAATCTAAAAATGGTGGAGGAGAGGAACTTGTGGATTATTTATGTATGTTGCTCAGGTACGACTGACTCATAAGTTTTTCATCATCAAATTTTTGTCCCTACCACTGATTCATACTTTCAATTTCTTTAGGTTTTTTGAGATTTGAATATTTTATCTGTCCAGAATTAAATCAGACCCAGTTGAAGATTAAATAAATAGAAAACGGAATTCAAATTGAGTATTGGATTGAAAAGTAACGTCTCTAAATTACAGTGAAAAGAATGAAGACATGATGAGTACTACTACTTTATATTTCAACCCAAAAGGCCCAAAGTGTTGTTGAAAGTTGATACTTGGAAAAAGAAAGATAAGAGAGTGTTGAATTTCCCAAGTCTGTTTCTTTATATATACTTTTCCTCAATTGGGACTCAAAATCCATATAGACTGAATCCTGGGTTTTCAAAAAAAAACTTATGCCATCATCATTTTTCCAACTTCACAACAACTACACATGTTCTCATGTACACACAAATAAATTTAATCTAAAAAATAACAATTAACATGGCCGTTGGCTCTCTAAATAAATTTCAAAAGAACATGAATGCGTTTATATAAAACTAATACATTACATTTTCACTAAATTCCAAACCTATACTTATTATGTTAGTAATTTTTTCTGACATTTAATACAATCCCTCCTACCTCACCTCACCTCAAGAGTTTGTGATAACCAGAGACAGCTGAAATGATAAATCTGCCGCTTAAATCAAATCATCCCACCCCTTCAAAGCAACTTTCTGTCCTCCAATAAAAGCTATTAATTTGGTTATTCTCCAAAAAAAGATTTACAACTATAAAATTTTCCTTCCATGTAGGTATTTCAAAAGCACTCCCCCCAAAAGCTCCTGATTTCTTCTTAACCTTACAAGAGAACTTAAAAGAACAATGTCTCATTTTCTCTCCTTGTCAAAAGAATTAACTCCCGAGTTTTCTTAATTGCCTTCGGAGGGAAAGAACTTTCTTTTGCAAAAGAAATTGTCAGCCCGCGTCCGCGAATGAGGTTTGGCATAAAAAACCAAATGACTATAACAAATCTCATGTTTGAATCTGTGTTCCCGTCAAACCTTTTTCCCTATGCTAATTTTTCTTAAAACTGACTTTCATTGAAGTTAGAAGAAAGAGGCTAGACGTTTTAAGATAACTAAATGGTAGATTTAACGTCATTTATTATTCAAATTTTACGTAAAACTGCATTTGAATTTGTCTGCTATTCACAATTTGGGTGATTTCTATTTATTTTATTATTAAAGAATTCCTGCGCATTTCATTCCATCTCTAGAGAATTCATTTAATTTGACTATTCCCTTTTACTCAATCAATCACAATTTGCTAACTGAATTCTACACTACTCGGAGCAGCAAAACTCGACTCAGCCAAGCTAGATCCTCCCCTCGTTCAAAGAGTGGTGAGGGTCCAATGCCTATAGTCCCCATTTGGGGCCAATAGAGAAAAACCAAAGTCAAGCAAGAC